GCATCTGTTTCGTTTTCGATGCGCCACCCAGTATAATGGAAAAAGTAAAAGTATACTACTACATAATTTCAGGTTATAGGATTAAAATCCGTGATACAAGATTATTTGAGGACTTGTCAACACTTGTTACGTGACTCAAACAGAATATCGAGTTTTTATATTATTATAAAGTAGCTAGTTAACAATACAATAATTATAAGAATCACTGTCAACAAAAACAATGTAGAACAAATTGCAATTTGTGGAGCATGGGAATACAAAACATAGCTTCTTAGAGAGCAGGTGCTCCTGTTTGATGCATTTTTTCCATCATACGATTGAGTTATATAAAGCTGGTGATATCTTCTGTGCAGTTTGTAGTAACATTCTGGTGAAATGAAACCTGAAATCACGAACAGACCCCAGAAAGGTCAGGAAGCTCTGAAGTATCCGTAATCACAACAATTTTTCGCTCACTCGTGAGAAGTAAGACACTTAGCGTCAGAAATAAAATTTGAAGACGACAAAAACCAAATAATCGGAGATAACTGAATATTGATTTCTGATCGGATACTCATTTTGGGCAGTAATTTAATTCTGATCATGATTGAGACGCTACACATCCTCCGATAAAAGTGAAGCCTGCCCTATTCCAGTGTCATCACAGTAAAGTTAGAAAATCATTACTCATATCTAAAGGGAAGCTGAAATTTGAGGTTATTCAAGATTTTTTGACTGCATTTCTCTGGCAGTGATGTGAATTCTACAAGACCAACACAATTTTGTTAATTCCGCAAATACCTGATAAAACATGTCTGACTACGTATACAGAAAAAGTTAAATAATATTTAAACGTGCAACTTTACCCTGTGCATGGCTTTATGTTTATTTCTACCTCTTCACAATGCAACTGGTGACACAGTCGCATGTAGAAGCTAGCACAGCAGCTCTCTCCATTGAGCAAATGAGCATCTGGGAGCTGCATGTATTTCAATACTTTTAAGTGTCTTCGTCAGCATGTATCCTATTCCACTGATTGCTACGTGCCGCACGCTAGCCTGTTCGATAGACGCAAACAGTGATCTCGCCGTTTCTAAATACAGAGTCTGGATAGCAGTGTCAGTTCTTAAGTAGATTTTAAATATGGCACTTGTTACAGTTTCTTTTCATGGTCGACTAGAAATTAGCCACATCATGATAAGGTGAATTATTGCTTCGTTTATCTCATTTAGGATAGTAATTTTATAGACGATCTTAAACACAAAGAATTCATTTTTATAACAAACCATTTCTGCCAGTCTAATAATTTAAAGGTAGAAAATCGTATTCCACCTTCCATCTCGTTGGAGGTAATTTTTTATAATTTCTGTCTACAGTAGATACGAGAGCTGAAGGTGACTTGGTGCTTTTTCCGGTACTCTGGTGTAGGAATTTTCTGCGGCCCACTGCTTGATTCTGTGAAACAGTTCACACACTGAGTTGCAGTGTTTAGGGTGGTGGTGTAGTTTTTTTACTAGAAATCGGCCCCCTTAGTGTTTTTTTTCATCGGAGCCGTTTTCTCACCCTTTTGGGGATTTAATCGTGCAAATAGCTACACTCAACCATCGAGCTGGTAAGTAGCCTTTTTCTCCAAGACACATTTGTAATTCTATAGAGGGAAACCGCCTGCAGGGTTACTCCAAGGCGAATATGAGTGGGATTCACGGCCGGGAGGAGCAGTTCCCTATCTGTGTGAATCCTCTTATTGTTCAAAGTAATTATGATTTTGTCTCTACTTTGCTAGGCCTGTCTTAATTTCATACAAATTGAAAACACAACCACTTCGTTCAGAAATTACTATTTGTGCCAGTTTAGGCGTTCTTATGTAACATTAGTGTTATAATTTAACCATTTAATTACCCATTCTTTAGGTCAATATGGAATTCGTCAAAAACTAATAATTCATCAGCCTTTTTAGTAGTAATAAAAAAAAAGATATTTTTTGAATTTCACTGAGAATAATATAGTAGTATTTTTATATGGCGGTAGCTTTTGATATTAGTTATATATACTAAGTGACATATAAATCCGAACACCCAGGTTAAATGGTTTTATTTTAATAAAAGTTGGTGAATGTATTTATCTTACTGTAAGTAACAAGTGAAAAAATTTTCAGCCTTATCAGTTGGACATTCCGGTTTTTATACTGCTTTCTTTTTAATTCACTAACGCTCTAAAAATGAATATTTCAGCCGCACAAAGAATCAACGTTGGCGGATTTTGGTTGTTGACATCCTTTACGATCGGTTACGATACCTAGAGTACGGAGACCTGTACGATTTCGTCAACTTAGTGAGTTTGATAGGGGCCGTATAGTGAGGCTTCGGGAAGCTGGACTTTCTTTTCGGGCAATTGCAGTTAGAGTGCAAAGAAGTGTAGACACTGTGGTTAGGTGTTGTCAGGCATGGCTTCGAGAAGGCCGTACGTAAAGAGCAAGGGGCACTGGACGCCGCCGTAGAACAACAGAGCGTGAAGATCGCCGCCTAAAATTATTGGCCTTAAGAGACCGTTTCTCCACTACCAGGTTTATTGCAAATGAATGGTTTGCAGAACACGGAAGACCCATTGGCATGCGAAGTGTTTACCGACGAATGAGAAGTTTTGGCTTGTTTTGATACCGGCCGCACTGGGTCCTCCCTTTAGCTCGAGAACACCGACGTCATCGCCTTGAGTGGTGCAGACAACGGTCACTCTGGGATCAGGAATGGAACAGTATGGGCTTTAGTGACGAGTCTCGATTTTGTTTAGGCATGCACGACGGTCGTGCCAGGGTTAGAAGGCGACGTGGTGAAAGGAGAAATCCACAGTTTTTTGTTGAAAGACATGTTCATCACACTGTTGAAGTTATGTTTTGGGGTGCTATAGCTTATGGTGCCAGGTCACCTTTAATCTTCACCAGAGGTAACATGATCGAGCAGCGTTATATCCACGAAGTTCTAGAACCCCATCTTTTACCCTATCTTGACACCCTGGTAGATCCAACTTTCCAACAAAATAATGCCCGACCACATGTTGCAAAAGTCACAATAGACTTCTTTCAACATAATGATGTCACATTGTTACCATGGCCACCAAGATCTCCTGAATTATCCCCAATTGAGCACGTGTGGGATATGATGGGTAGGAGATTGCTCAATTTGGAACGTCCTCCTCAGACTCTAGAAGCACTTCGAGAGGAGTTGGTGGTTGCCTGGAATGAGATACCACAGGAGGACATTGACCACCTGATCAGAAACATGCCTAGGCGCGTTGGAGAATGCGTAGCACATCAGGGTGCATCCACACATTATTAAAGGTCAAAGGGCTTTAAAGCAGTGCAATCATTTTGAAATTTTTATCATTTACTTATTATGCTTCATTAAGTACTTATACAAAATTTTATTAAAATAAAACCATTTAAACTGGGTGTTCGGATTTATATGTCACTTAGTATATTTACTAAAATTTGAGTGAGACATGCTCACGGTGAAAAATATTCCTGTGGCTCTCAAGTAAGATTTTAATTGCTTCACCTATAAGCTTTGGGAGGACGTGAAATATTTTACCTCCGGGTCCTCATGTATAATTACAGGTATCTTATTAACGTAATTTAGTTCAGGCTAACTTGAAAATTTCGATATTGCTAGTGCAATCATGATCTTCCTTGTATACCGTGATTGAACAACAAATTTGTTATAATTTTAAATTTTTGAATTAATATAAGCTAAAGACTAAATGGTTCCACGTTAAATCTTTAATTCTTAGAAACAACTTAAAAGGGAGGATCAGTAGTCAAATCGTGATTTAGAGTTTTTTCCAGCAAGTAATTTTTTTCTATTTAGGATTCTACCATCCGGTGTTACCATCCGGTTCTGCCTTTGGGTTCTACGCTCCTATTTTAGAGTAATATATAGGGTTTGTCCGTTGTCCGTTTAAATTCTGTGTGAAACTCGGTAAATCTGCGACAGTGACGTTTGATATGATCAAGCAGACTTACCTAGGTGTTGCTTTAGCAAAAAGTGGTGTATTTCGGTGGCACTATGCCTTTTTGGAGGGCCGGAAAGAGGTCGCTGATGAAGACCGTGCTGGAGGACCTTCGACTTCGACAAACACCGATAATGTGACTCGTGTGCGCAAACTTTTAAACTCAGACCGTTGACTAAGTATTCGTTTAACTGCCCATTTGTTAAATTTACCAAAATCTGTGGTTCATGACATTGTGACACAGCATTTGAACATGCGCAAGGTGTGCGCGAAGATGGTCCCAAAAGTGCTCACTGACGACCAGAAATTGCGGCGAGTGGAAGTGTGTCAAGAAAATTTGAACATGTGTGAAAGTGACCCCCAATCTTTGAATAACGTAATCGCAGGTGACGAGTCGTGGATCTTTGAGTATGATCCCGAGACAAAGAGGCAATCTTCCGAGTGGAACACGACGGCGTCTCCTCACCCAAAAAAGGGAAGAATGAGCAAATCCAAAGTGAAAACGATACTCTCAAGGCTATTCCGGAGAATGCCTTCCGTGACGCCTTCAATGCTTGAAAATCGCACTGCCAGCTCTGCATCGACGCAAAAAGAGCCCATTTTGATGGTTTTTAAAGTATTGTAACGATTGGCTCAATAATTTTTTTTAAATCGACTCAGTCCTATTACTTTCCGGACAAACCCGTATGAGTCTTCCTGCCCTCAATTGCCACTTAGGGATAGTAGTTTTTAGTTTGAAATTTTTGAGCTAGGGAGGTAATACGAAATACTTTTCTCAGCCTGTCCTCCAGGACTTTCTCAATTTCTTTTAATTTTTTTGTTCAATAAATGTCTGTGTGTCTTATGAGTTTGTGTCTCCTTAGCTCCATTATTAGTTTATCTCCTAGTTCTTTAAACTAGGTGGCGCCCAAACCCCAACCGTCTTGAATCCAAAAACCAAGGTACAAAGAACCTCACCCTGCAGTCTCATATCAACCGACTAACACACTTAGCAAGCAACCGAAGATTAAAAATCCTACCTTTTAAATTTTCGGGCAGCGTTTTCCTCCCCGGTATTGTTTGCAACTTGTTCCCATCAATAGTGAGCCGTTCCAGCGTATGCAAACCTAGGAAGGCGTCTTCTTCCACATCTTCAACAGCACAGTTGCTCAGTTCGAGAGCAGTTAGGTAGGGAAGGTGGTTGAAGGCCAGCCTTTTCAAGGTAGTGATAGGATTCTCGTTGAGAGATAACCTCATTACCGAGGGACAGTTTATCCAGGCGCCAGTTGGGATAGTCTCTATAAAGTTCCTTGAAAGATCCAGCTCGACTAGGTTAGAAAGGCCTGAAACAGAAAAACGTGGCATTAGGTGAGGATCACTTTTCATTTTAGTAGGTATAAATGCAAATCAAGACAGTGGGGTAAGATTTATAAGGAATATATGTATACTTTATCTGAAGTCACTTGAAACACTGTGAAATACCGGGTGCGTTTTATATATCTATATTTAACACGCTCTGTTGCTGCAAAAATCGCCAAATTTCGCAGCAAGTATAAGATCAAATGCAGTTTCACCGGTCCACGTGGAGTAAAGCACGCCTATGCGTGGACATAGCCAATGAGAAAGCGTGTATTTCATAGCTCCGAACAAGTGCAGGTGGCTACTGAAAATTGAAACAGTTTAGCCAGTGCCGTGTAGCGGTGAATAAACGTGTTTTCTTTAATCTGTCCTTATTTTTTCATAGATTTTATTAGTTTGTGTGTCCTAAATATGGCTCTTTGGAGACCTTGGGAAAATGCTCCGAGCCACGAGGAGATGGTTGATGAACCTGTGCAGGCAGAATTCTTTCATAAAGATTTAGAGGAACAGACCCAAAGAGTAATCCTAAATATGTATGATTGTCTGAAAAACGAAAATCCAGATTCCTCGCAAAATCAAATTTCAAACAGAATTTGTATCCTGACAAAAATCAGTCGGTCTACCATTTATCAGGTTATAAAAAGGGGAGATGTAGTCAACCATTCCTTCCACAGAAAGCGCATAGGGCAAAAATTAAAAAGAATAGACGTGGGTTTTCAGGAAGATATTCGTCGTATAATATACGGATTTTATAAAGAAAATTTGGTGCCCACGTTGGAAATGATACGGGATAAATTAAAAGATTATCCTGAAGATTTTTATAATTACAAATGCTTAGACTCACTGCACTGTGTTGTAAAACTGTGTGGTTTTCAATACAAAAAATTAGATAAAAGAATGGTGGTTATGGAGTCGTCTCGAATCGTTGAATTGCGCCAAGAATTTTTGTTAAAAGTTAAAATCTATAGAGAGCAGAAAAGAAATCTGATTTACCTGGATGAAACGTGGTATGATACCCATGATGTTGTGCAGTACGGCTGGGTTGACGACAGCAACAAGTGCATCTTAAATGCACCATGCAACCGTGGAAAACGAATCATTATTCTCCATGCTGGCAGTGAAAATGGATTTATACCTAATGCCTTGCTGTTATCTGCCAAAAATATCAAAGAATCATGTGCCGCCTATCATGAGGACATGACCTCCGACTTATTTGAAAAGAAGCATTACTAAGTTCCCAGCTGAAACCTTCTAAACAGAAGAATGGCAGCTCTGTTAAATATCTGCTTGTTCATCGTTACAACATACTTGAAACCGTGGTTGAAGTGCACTTTAGCGGTTAAAGCACCTAACCAGGATTTATTCTTTTCAAACGCAATGAAGGCTTACGAAATAATTGAAGAGACCAGTCCAAAAACAGCTTTACAAAAGCTCTACCGACATTTATGGTATTTGACAAAGGAAGTGTATGCCTTATCTCTGTTTGACGGCGACACATATGAGGAAACTAAAGTAAAAATTGTGGCGAATTTAGTTGCTATGCTTTCGTTTGTTGTCCTGGCCTAAGGCCAAGCCTAGGCGATGCCGATGAGTTGCCAGAAAGTCCAAAACATCTGTGCAGGGTTTTTCTTGGTTTTTTTATTTCAGAGAAAAATGTCGATGACTTTCTTTCAATCAAAAGCAAGACCTTGGGACACGCTGATATGTACGCAAGGCCCCGAGAGTATTTATATCTGATGTTTGTCTGTCGTTTTTTGTCAAAACATAGTAGTAGCAGATGCTGCAATTCACAACCAAATTATATCAACGAACCCACATTACCGCGTTGCCAGTCTTTGCTTTTTGGATCGAAACAAGATGACCCATTTATACCATGAAGCAGCTTTGAAAATAACCAAACCAACATTTTCCTCTGAAACTTTGTGGAAATCATGGTGTCGGTAACATTAAATTTTCATAATAATGTGATCAAGAAAAGGAAAGGAAACCTAACGGAAATGTTGAAAAGTTGATTTTCAAACTTACACTATAACAATGAGCTTGATAGGTAAAAGTCCTTCCAATACTAACGCAGGACTTGAATTAAATGGGAAGCACGTACCTTTTCTTCTAGCTGCCAAATTTCGTGCATGGTATACGAGTATTCTCTTGTTTTGATCATAAGCATTGACCCTTGAGTCCGGGATTCTTTTTATTGAGTTGTTTGCAAATAAGCCCAGTCACTCATTGGAGGATGAAATTGAATGCTATCACACGAAATTCAGGCACACATTTGCAAATTCATGAAACATGTAAATAAAAGTGCTCCTATGTGCCAGTAAAACCAAAAAGATCATCTGTCTCACGTTCACCTGCAAACCTATTTTTTTACTATACAGTGTTATGGAAAGAATATTCGTAACTTTAGGGGGTGTTTCCTTGCATTATTCTAAGCAAAAAGGTTCATTATAACTTATGTCCGAAAATCAATCGTTTCCGAGGAAAGTGAGTCGTAGATAATTAAATTTTCTCAAACATTTGGCAACGCTGCAACGCAACCGCGTTACGAGCGCATAACGACCACAACTAATTCTTTGTATGATACTTATTATTGAATACCTTTACGCAATTTTCTGTGGCTAATATTTTTTATTTAATAGCGCGTTCAGTACAGTACATTTACTTAAAAAAAAGGACAGAACTTACCGGTACGCGGCGATACACACCACCAATTCCCACGATTATCGGTCACTTATTTGAAACGATGTGATGCACCAAATAAGAAAAAGAAACCAACATCCGTAAATAACATAAAGTTACATAGTTAAATGTATTAGTAATAACAACAACACGCGATGATAGTTACATGCAGTGCAGGCGGAGTACGACGTTGCCAGTTGTGTGAGAGATTTTGTTTGTCTGTTTTTCTTCGGAAATTTGTATTTAATGAGCAAGAAGATTATTTTGTTAGAGACTGTTAATTAATAAATAGACGTATTGATACATTTTACGATATTAGGCATATGAGTTTAAATTATTAAAGTGCAAAATTGATTTAAATCATGACTAAAAAGAAATAAGTTCAGCATTTTTTGCTCCGAAATGGTTGATTTTCCGATATAGGTTATAATGAACTTTTTTGCTTAGAATAATGCAAGGAATCACCTCTTAAAGTTACGAATATTATTTACCTAACATCCTGTGTAATTCAATAGAAAGGTGAGGCCAACTAGCTTGACTATCTTGATTCTCATCCAGTTCTGTCATTACTTAGGTTATGTCTGGTTTGCTTCCAGACCTAACGCCATATGAACTATAGCTCAAAAGAAATAATCCAGAGCAACTTATTTCATGTGAGATATAGAGACTACAATGTTAAACTTGTCCATGAATCAAAAACAATGTATCATACATTCCTAAACTCACTACTGGAATTTATACCAACCCATAGTAAAATATACGTCGCACGCCTATGACTTTCTTGTACCTGTACCAGTCAAGTTACGGGTGGTGGGACGATCGCAGCACTGGGAGTGGAGAGTGGAGGTGTGCAGCCGTAAGTATAGGATTTAGTGGAGGTGACTGGAACTGATGAGCGTTCTATTTATAATGGTAGGTGTGTTGTATTACTGACATCAAAAGCTCCTAAAGGGACTTTGACTAATACCAAATTTGCAACATTTACAACACGGCTTCCCCTACAACTTTCAAAACTTACGTTCTTTTCTGAGAGGACAAGGATCGCTTGAAAAGCGAAGACACGAAGTTTGGATGATTTTAATGTTATTATGTTACTGTTCCTTCCTTACAGTTTCGTCGCTGCTTCGATCGATGTTTAAAACTTACGAAGTTCTTTCAAAAATTCATCAAAAGACAGACCAAGTGACATAATTTTTCGTGATGTCGATATCGTGTAACATCAAAAAAACAATAATAAAAGTTTTGTCCTTATAATAGTTCCTCGCTAGTCTCGTGTGAGGTAAGAGTTAAGTACCTTTGAATGCGTCTCGATGAACTGCCTTTATTCGACACTCTGACATGTACAGCCTCTGCAGATTGATCAGCTGCTTCTTCAAAAAGAGGTCCTTAGTCAACTTGCCCACCCTGTTCTTGCTGAAGTCCAACACCTGGGTCTCGGAATCCAACCCGTCAGGTATGTCCGACATGTTCCTGTTCGGGCACTCGACTGTCTGTTTCCCGTTCTTCCACTTGCAGGAGCAATACGTCGAACATGACGAGGTTGCTTCTCCGGCCAGGTGTAGGAGGATGATGGCAGGGTAAATGTGCCAGATCAGCTGCATCTTAGAGGCCTTTTCGTGATGTCTACATGAAGATCTGTATGTAGAGGTGCCTGAAACAAGGAAGAGTCCTTTGAATATTGTTGTAGGAAGGACAACATGGTCACAAGTAGGTATTTGATTTCTTGCTCAAGAGATGAGCGCTCTCACGTTACCCGAATAATGCCGAAGAGTCATTATGGAGATTCTGCTTATTTTTTTTTGAGTGGCAAATCTCGATACGTACAGCAAAAGTGTTAAGAGGCTTATGTTCCATCAGTATTCTCCAATATACAGGATTCGATATCATACACTACTGCTGTGGAATTGCCACAAACACCAGTAGATCAAAATTTATGTTTCACAATAATCATAACTACCGAACAAGATTCAATCAAAATTCAATATCTATTCCACAAACATCAAAAACCATTACCCAACGATCTCTGTTTTTCTTGGGACCAACATTCATACCAGAGTCAGTAAAAGTAATTAAATCAAATAGATCATTTAAAGGAGAACTAAAAAAATGGATTTTACAACAATCAAGGTGCTCCATCCACGGAAATGTAGATATGAATCATTATCAAAATCAATAATATTTTATTTACATAAACATCCATACTTTTACTTTAGTTATACGAGGGATGTCTCTTAAGTTTTGCATATAGAAACATAGTATGCCCTGCGCATCGAACGTCAGTACTGAATCTGAACCTCCCTCTTTAGTAAACTTAAATTCAAAAAAGTTTCACAACAGTGAACAGAACAGAAGTGTTCTCACTACAGTGAGTTTTTAAGTATCACCAAGTCATTAGAAAAATGGAACTCAACCGAGAACATTTTCGCTCCATAATTTATTACAACTTTCAGAGACAATTATCGTAACAAGAATGCCTGAGTTACTGTCTGTTTTCGGCAACGAAGCGCCACATCAGTCGACAATTTCCCGTTGGTATGGCGAATTCAAACATGGACGGGTGAGCCTTAGCGACGATCCCAGGGTGGGTGCACTAAAAACGGCAGTCACCCAGGACAACGTCGATGCTGTGCGCAAACTCATTATTGAAGATAGACACTGTTATAATAATAAACGACAGTCGGCTATTTGGGTGTTCCAAGGTAAAGAAAAGCCAACAAAAGCCATCCATTGTCGTAGTGTTTCGAACAAGATGGTCGCGACATTTGTGTCAAAAGCGGGTCATATTGCAACAAATCCTCTTAATGAGCAAAGAACTGTTACTACGGATTGGTATACCACCATTTGTTTGCCAAAAGTCATCACCGCGCCTCACAAAATCAACCACGAAAGAAGAATCATCCCCCACCAAGACAATGCAAGCTCGCACACAGCCCAAAAAACAAGGCAGTATTTAACGGAAGAAAACGTTGAATTATTGGACCATCCTCCATATAGTCCCGATCTAAGTCTTTCCCGAAAATTAAAAACACACTGCGTGGTCAAAGGTTCCAGTCATCAGAAGAAGCAGTTGACGCATTAAAAAATGCCGTTTTGGATCTGCCAGCAAACGAGTGGAATAAGTGATTTGAAAATTTGTTCGAGTGCATGCAGATGTGTATTAATCTTCGTGGAGAATACTTCGAAAAACAATAAAGTCATATAAAACTACCTACCGTGTTGTTTTATTTCCATATGCAAAACTTAAAGGACATCCCTCGTAATTGTCTGGATATTTTTACTGACGTCACCATAATAATTCAATTCAACAAATTATACAGTATAAAGGTTTTTTTAATACGCTGGCTGTACTTTTAGTTTTTATTTTTAACAGACCCAAAAACAAGTGCAAACTTGTTTGGGTGCTTTATATTTATTGTGCATAATATTTAATATTTACCTGTATTTTGTGACAATAAAAATTATTATTATTATTATTATTATTATTACCATCACATGCAAAAGATGACCCAAAAAGAAAACGAATTACCCTCAGCTAATGAGGAAGCACTGTTCACGATTATCCAATACTATGCCCATAAGATTGCATTCCAAAATTATTTGGGAGAATTAGTACAAGTTTTTCTGTTCAAAGAAGCGGTTGTGAAAACAATTGAATATGATTGTCGCTATAAAGTATAGGAGGCTATGGCTTTGACGTGTAAATAATTGACCACGCAAGGTAGTAGCTTGAACTAAAGGAGCGAAGTCCAATGCTCGTTAAATCAAAATTCGAAATAATCATAAGTGGATGGGCTACAAACTTGATGAATATGCAGATCTCTTTAAATTAGAAATTACTCGAGCGGCAAGTAACGCTTCATCGAAATATTTTTGTTAAGTAGCATCATTCAGAATGCCACTAGAATGAATGACCACTCTTCATTCCAGTTCATATTAAAAACAAAAATCAAGTTTTGAACGTTTGTGTTTAAATAATTATCATTAATCTTTGTTGCTGTTCTGTTTGGTAATCATACATATCCACGTGCTTTTAGTCAATAAACCGTGCTTTATCCTTTGAGCGTGCAGATGCACAGCCTGCTACTACCGAACGCTGAAAAAAATCGTAAAATAGCCAGTAAATCTGGAATTAAAGGGAAAATGTCAAAGGTAGATACTAAAATATGATTTGGTAAGGAAGGCGATCGAATTATACAGTGCTTTTCTTGTTCCCCTCCCCTTTGATTTTTTGAACGGATCAATTAAAAAAATTGAAACTTGAGGTAATGAAATTGATTTGTGGATACCATATTTTAGAGTAAAATAGTCAGATGAAAATGTCAAGATAACCGCTGTGCGCCATCTTGGAAGAAAAATCATATTGAAACGGGGGTCTTGTGGCACACCATTTTTAAGCTCCGACGAGTACTTTATAACCCTAGAATATAAAGTCAATACGTTTACCTACTACAAAGTTAACCCTAAATGGGTTAATGTGTTTTACTAATGGGAGTAAAAGCCCACAGAAGTTGAAAAATCTATATCAGTATGTTGTATAACGGCCTGGATATTCAGTTGTTTTCTAACCTTCACATCCTCCACATGGAAAATGGATAATAGCGGGACTTAGAAGAGATGTATATAAAATGTCCAAGGAATCCAAATAGGCAATAATATTCAGGAGGTTCGATTAAAGAAATATAGCTCTGATATGAATCACCCTGTATAAGTGTCGTAATAAAAATAACTCACTTGTAAGATCGAAGCTTGAATATGTGGCAATTATTTGGGAGCCCTCCTACTGCTTCTGGGTAGACAAACTCGTTAATATCCAACGGCGTTTTTTGTAGTACCTTTACTTTAAGGAAAATGGCATCTAGCCACCGATTGGCTAGCCACAAGGGTCTTTAGAAGAAGCTTTCGATTTTCAAAGTCTTAGGTAGAGGCGTGCTAAGTGCAGTGACTGATATATTGCACAATCGTATTGATTGTTGTAATATATTGCAATGATTTTAATTTCCTTGTCCCGCGTTTGAATGCTAGACAATGAATACCTTCTATTTTGCCTACCCCTAGAACAAGTATTTTAAAGTTTTCTCCATTGTAGAGCTCATGTGGTAAAGCGAATGACATTGCGGATCAATTAGATATATTTCTCTGATGTCTTGTCTGCTGCCAGGTTCCTTATGATGTCTTGTCTGCTATTTGCTATTTAATTTTTTATCTACACTGCCACTTTTGTAAATACAGCAGACGCTCGATAATGTAAACTAATTTAATCCAAGTGTGGTTCACATTATCGAAATGTTTACATTAGCGAACGTGATTTATATAATATTTGATTTATTAAAAGAAACGTTTAATACATACTATTTATAACAAAATAAACAAATATTCTAACAGCGATAAGTATTTTTTTAATTAGAAGAAAAATAATTAAGTTGTCTGCGTAAATTTGAGCTTAGCATTGTCTTCCAATGCTTGCGCCCGTAATTTACGAAGAACTAAAATATCCGTGTATGAAACTTATTTTCTTTCAGCCCAATCTAAAGCTTGGTTAAAAACTTGTATAGCTTGCGCGTCAGTCACTACACTTCTGACTTCAATGGGATCGTTCTCATCATCCTCACTATCCATATCCTCCTCCTTATCAGCATCATTCGTCTGCTTATCTTCGTTCCATAAATTAATATCAGCAGGAGTACAAACAATGTTGGGATTCACTGTTTTCAATAAATCAACGACATCCAATGACACACTAATAACATTATCATTATTGGATCGCAAACATTCTCTAATCACGCTTAAGGGGACACGGTTTTCTTCATCATCTTCATTATTGGTACAAAAGAGATTGTTCCAACCATTTTGAATAGGTTGCTGGTTAAGTTCATTCCAGGCCATATGTAAATCTAAAACAGTTTCTTTTTTTAAAGCCTCAGTAAAGTTTTCAGGATTCTTTGATAAGACAGACGAAAGTAGAAACTTCCTATAGTATAGTTTGGTGAGTCTTATTATATTGTGGTCCATCGGTTGAGTTAGCGGTGTTACGTTGGGCGGCATGTACATGATGAAAATTGACCCATCCCTGCTCCTCAGTTGTTGCTCGGGAGGATGACTTGGTGCATTATCCAATAGTAACAACGCTTTTATTGGAAGCTTCTGTTATTTTAGGAAACCTTTTACCTACAAATTGAAAACTCATCTTCAAATTATGAATACAGCATTTGTGATAATTGATTGCCATACTTGAGAGACAAAGCACCTGTGGAACCGTTTCAGGAATATACTGCTAGTCATCCAAGCGGTTTTTGAACACTCATAATCAACAGGGATATTAACATTTTTAAATGAGTTTTTGCTTTCCCAATTACCAGTGGCTTTATTTTGTGTGAACCATTAGCATTAGTGCAGGCTAGAAACGTTAGTCGTTGTTTCTCCGGCTTTCTTCCCGGGGCAGATTTTTCAAATGAGCATAGGTTTTCTCTGGTAACATTTTCCAATAAAGGCCACTTTCATCTGCGTTGTAAATTTGTTCCATTCCTGAATCTAGCTCGGTAATTGTTTTCATCAATTTTTCTTTGAATGGTTGCACTAATTGTGGTTGTGCTGATAATTTTTCACCAGATATAGACAGCAGTCGAATTCCATATCTTGTTTTGAATCGTTGTAG